AGACCTCCAGCCTCCCCGGGATGTACAAAACTTTGATGGGCGATTGCTGAAAGCCGGGCCGGTGGCTCGCTACACAGCGCCCGTGCAGATGGAAGTCGGGGACCATGTGGAAGAGGTCTCCTTTTTGGTCATGGACCTTCCACACGCCGTGGTGTTGGGAATTCCATGGCTGGCCAAGCACAACCCGACCATTTGGTGGGCTCAGAAAAAATTACAGTTCACCTCGGCCTTTTGTAAGGAACATTGTGGCGGGGAGCGGAGGTGTCGGGCCGCAGAGGTTGCCGCACAAGCCACGGTCAAATTGCCCGCCAAGTACCAAGATTTTTGGGACGTTTTCAGCGAGAAGGAGGCGGAGAGACTTCCTCCGCACCGTCCGTACGACTGCGCTATTGACTTGATCCCGGGCGCCCCGATTCCGCGTGGGCGATTGTATTCTCTCTCGGAACCAGAGCTGGCGGCTCTCCGGGAGTTTCTGGATACTAACCTACGCAAGGGGTTCATTCGTCCCTCGCAGTCGCCGGCTGGGGCTCCAGTTTTGTTTGTCAAGAAAAAGTCAGGGGAGCTGCGACTTTGCAATGACTATCGGGCGTTGAACAACATCACGATCAAGAACCGTTATCCGCTCCCCCTCATCCCGGAGCTTCTCGACCATTTGCGAGGGGCCCAGATTTTCACCAAATTGGACCTAAGGGGGGCCTATAACTTGGTGCGTATCCAGGAAGGGGACTAGTGGAAGACAGCCTTCCAGACCCGCTTCGGGAGTTTCGAATACAGAGTCATGAGTTTCGGGCTCTGTAACGCTCCGGCCACGTTCCAGCACTTTGTCAACGACATCTTCCGCGACTTTTTGGACCGTTTTCTGGTCATTTACCTGGACGACTTCCTGATCTACTCCACGAATCCACGTGTCCACGCGCAACAGGTGCGCGCAGTGCTCCAGCGCCTGAGGGATCATGGGCTTTACGCTAAGCTGGAAAAGTGCGCCTTTGATTTAGATGAAGTAGACTTTCTGGGACACCGCATCTCGGCGGAGGGGATTTCCATGGACCCCACTAAAGTCTCCGCGGTGTTAGAATGGAAGTCCCCCATGAGCAGAAAG